GAGGTTCAAGAAGAGGAGAGGCATGTATGCAAGAAACAAACTGGGAGATAATGACTTGGACAAAGGCGAGAATAGAGATTGATTTTAAGGAAAAATTTTTCAACGAATAGGACATCCAAACTGGGAGATAATGATTTTAAGGAAAAATTTTTCAACGAATAGGACATCATGCGACAACGTTAAAGGGTCGTAGGTGTTGGAATCCCAAGATTTGATCGCGTGCATCTACTTAATGTGGGATTTGGATGGGGATTAAGTTGATGTAATTGTATTTCTCAAATAAATTTAATCAAATGAAACAAAAATATAAAATCAACGTTTCAATTAATCCCTTATACAATCCCTCATTCCTTGTGAGTCTCAAATCGCATTTTGTTGCCTTAGAAGTGGACAATTATTATGCTTTCGTTCAGTGTGGTGAAAAGGGCAATATTGGTGTCCTCCCTTAATAATTTTAAGGTTACGAATGCATCAACGCTTTCCATTTATTGAAATGAGCAATAATTGAGCATCATTACCTCATGTCATGTTCATAATGTCATTTTCACGTGTTAGTTATTTGGCAATGTGGGATATCTTTTCGGGGCATTTTTATTGTGGGGATATCAACAAAGTTTTTTATATGATACAGACAACATTTCGATGACTTTGATTTGTGCAATGTGTTTTGGGCTTGACTTGCACGGCATCACATCCATCAGTCACCATTTTCGTTGTATTTAACTGAATAGAACGTGATGGTCTTTTTGGGCATTGTCGATGCTTCAGATTTGTCGAAGTAGCCCGTTTAACAAAGAAGCCACCGATTTAATAATTTTGATTGCAGTCGAGAAGTTCAATTAATTTCATGCAAATTTGTATTCAATGACAGCTACTAATGTGATTTTGTCTACGATCAATTTGTGTTGTCTTATGGAGCACACTCTAGGTCAACACACTTCTATTGCCCACTTAACTTTCTATCATGCACACCATATTTGATATCAAAATAAAATTTTCATGCCTCTTAGAGGTTGGAATACATGTCATGCTTGAATGTCGACCAAACATTAAATCATACTTCAAGAAGTTAAGAGTTCCAAAAATTTAACACAATATTTTCTTCAAGTCGACCCAGGGAGGGATGCAACCTTGATATTAGCATGATTTCAAAAATAAGTACCAAATATGAAGTTTCATCATGCAAATAAAAGCAAATAAATTCCCTAATTCAATAAAACCACATGAACTTACTTTAAAAATGGATCATAGGTATCTGAGCCTGATAAAGTCCTGTCATGAAATAATCTCGCACGTTTAGGATTCGCTGCAAAAAGAAAAATATAAAACTTTTGAAATTTCATCTCAGAGAATAGAAAAGAAATGTAAATACCATGTCACCAATACCTGTTAACATTTCATCAATGAGGGCAAGCACATATTCGATCGTTTCCTCCTTCGAAATATCACGTAAAATATTTACAAACACCCTAACATAAGCAGGTCCATCCTACAATAAGTGAGTATTAGAGCATCCAAAATAGATTCATCAAATATGACAAATATGGAATATGAATATTCCTAGACAAAATTTAGAAGGCATGCCAATTATTGCAAATTCAAAAGAAAATACATCATAAGTCATATTTTAAATTTTCCAAAAATCGTCAAGAACAATCACAGGGTACAGCTGCTCTGGTGGAAGACAGCGGAAGCCTGCAGGAAAGCGCACAGGGAGATGCAGCTTCTCTTCACAGGCTTGGGATTTCTACTAAAAAGAATAAACCCTCCTCTCCCTGCAGTTTTGGGATTTCCACTAAAAGATATAGAATCCAGCTAACTGTCAGGCCCAGATAAGATTTCCAATAGCACAAAAAAAAAATCCAGCAAAGTCATATTTTATAATTCCAGATGTCCCTCCCTGTTTTTGCCTTCCCACCAGCAACCCAAATATTAGTTAAACCCTGTTGTCTTCCTCCCTTCGCATGTTGATCCTTCTCGAGCAAGCAGAGCAACCACAGAAATTCCTTTTCTTCTCCTACAGCACATTCAGCCAGGAATTCTTTCCAATGCTAAATGTGACGTGCATCGAGCTTATGACAACGCACGGAATGAAAATGTCTAGCTTTACTATTGAGGTTGGTTCGGAATCAAAAATCAGGAATTCTACCCAAATAGCCCTGGGACTATCTCGCTTTATCACAAACCATAAACTCTATGACCATAAATTCTTTCAATAGACTCAATATATGTTTATGTACATTTGTGTGAAAAGAGGAACATCTCACGCAAGAGGACATGGTTTCTGAGTTCACTAATCCTAACCATCGCTCGTAGAAGATCCAAGATCATCTGGTCATTTCTTGGTCAATCAATTCTAAGACCACAATGATTGGAGAAAATTTATTGTTTTATAAAACAGTAGAAGAGATTTGGGAAGCAGCAATTGAAACTTATTCCAATGCCCAAAACACTAAAAAATTAGTTCAGATTGAGACAAAACTACATGAACTCCGATAAAAAGAGTTAAGTGTGACTCAATACTTCAACACACTTACAAAATACTGGTTACAGTTAAATATGTATGATATTTATATATGAAAGTGCCTTCAAGATGTTATGATTCTTATATATGTATGTGCCTTCAAGATGTTATGTTGTACAAAACAATAGTGGAGAATAAGTGGATGATCAAGTTTCTATTGGGTCTAAATAAAAAATTCAGATGAGGCGCGAGGAAGAAATATGGGGATGAAGCCTCTTCCTACCACTATGAAAGCCTTTGCTGATGTCAGAAGAAAAGAAAGTAGGAAGAAGCTCATGATGGGAAGAAGTGTGGATTCATCTAGCATTGAATGTTCCGCCCTGTACACACAACCCCTCCCATGAGTCAAAGATAAAGAAGAATCTTTCTTGTGTGAACATTGCAAGAAACTTGGTTACACAAAAGAAAAGTGTTGGAAACTACATGAAAAACCTGCAGATTGAAAATTGGGGCAAGAGAGAAAAGGCAAAGACTGCAAGATCCATGCTACAACCTTTTCTGAAGGGTTAATCAACCCTAGTCCCTTCAAAATAGAAAAACTAGAGGTTGAAGAAACTTCTTTCGAGCATAACTGAGCAGTCTACCAGCTTAATGATACACTAAGGCATCATGTCCCCCTATCGCACTAACAAAGGAAGATTTTGACCTTGGATAATAGATTCGGGTGTTTTTGATCACATGGTTGGAGATATCATGTTCTCATCAACAACTACAAGTTCACCAACTCCAAATTTGTTAGACTTGTTGATAGATCTCACTATAGGATTGTTGGGAAATGAGAAGTGAAAGTCTCCAAAGGTATTCAGCTCTCTTTTGTGATATATATTCCCCAATTAGATTGCAAATTACTTTCAATTAGCAAGTTTACTCATGACTTTAATATTTTACTAAATGTTATTCTAACTTGTGAATTTTAGGTGATAGATTTGAGGAAGATGATTGACAGTGTTGAATTGCATCAAGATCCATATCTGCTCAAGTAAAGCTATTCTCTTAACACATGTGTCGTATTCACCATACTCTTCCTATGTTCCTATGTTTGTTGTGTTCGAGTTTGTTGAATGTCAAGTTTTATTATGGCAATGTCATCTGGGTCATCTCAATTTTTCTTATGTTGCAAAGTTGAATCATTATCTCTTTATTAATAAAAAGTCGGAATTTTATCAATGTGAAATTTGTCGATTGGCTAAGCATGCTCGTCATCTCTATTCTTTGTCTTAATATAAATCCTCACAATATTTCTCTATCATCCACAGTGATATTTGGGAACTATCGAAATTGAAAACCATCAATAGATCCAAAAGATTCATCTCTTTCAGTGATGACCACAATAAAACTAGTTGGATATTCTTCATGAAGAAAACTTTTGAAACAACACAAATTTTTCAGCCCTTCCATAATATGATTATTTCCACTCAATTTCAAAGCAAAATTCAGATTCTTAAAGCTGATAATGCAAATGAATACTTTAACTCTATTCTTAGATCCTACCTTGCAGGGAATGATATCATCCATCTGAGTTTGTGTGTTAAAACTTCAAAATAAAATGAGAGTTTAAAAAGAATAGACACCTCGAGTTATTTAGGTCTATAATGCTTTTATACAATGTCCCAATTTATTTGGAGAGATGTGCTTACAGCCACCAACCTTAATAATAGAATGGCAAGTAGATTTCTTGGATTCAAAGTCTCTCTCGATATTGTGATAGAAAAATACTCTCATGTTAGACTCTTCTCAACTAATCTTCAACTAAAAATATTTAGACGTCTATTTTGTTCACATTCATCAACTAAACCGCACAAAGCATGATTCAAAATTCATCAAATGTATCTTACTTGGGTATGCTTTTAACAAAAAAATGTACAAGTGATATTCTCCCATTACAAGCAAATACTATAACCCCATAGATGCAACCTTCTTTGAAAACCAACCCTATTTTTTTTACCCCAAATTTAATAATTAAGGGGAGAGTCTAGGTTAATATCAGTCTTGGGACACTACCCTAGTTTCGTTGCAACCTATTCCACTTCCCTACTCTGATCTAAAGTATTCACAACAAATTATACTTCCATGTAACCATCTTCTCTCCTAAGTTCCACTAATTGAGAACATCCAACCTAAGATTGATAATAAGAAATTTCCAGTGTATGCTAAGAGAAAGAAATTTACCAAGCAGGATAAAGACAATATGCAACAATAGAACTGTTCACAACCAAAACTAAATTCACACGTCTCTGAAATTCCAAAGGGGTGGAATCAATAGGAGAAGATAGAAAAAATTGCACAAATTATTCTATCTAGTATTATGTTATATATGAGAAGTTATCATCAACTTATAAAGAATTTGTATATAATCTTGATAGCATGCAGATACACAACACAATTTCAATCATGAAGCACTTCAAAATCCAGAACGATAAAAAGCAATTGAAGAGGAGACCAAGCTTTTGACCTAAATGGCAAATGGATCATTGCAAAGCTTCCTCCAGATAAAAGACTCATTCAAGGTGTTCAATGTCAAGTACAAAGCATGTGGGAGCATCGAGTGGTTCAATGCTAGGTTGGTGACCAAAGATTTCACTCAATCTTATATGATAGGCTATCAATAAACTTTTGCTTCAGTATCCAAGTTAAACAATGTAAGAGTTCTTATTTCCTTAGCAGTGAACAGAGAGTGGGAACTATGTCAACTTGATAACAAGAATGTGTTTTGAATAGAAACTCTGAGAAATAAACGCATATAAAAATTTCAACATGAATGAAAAATGACTAAAATAAATGTCTGGTGTGTAAGCTAAGAAAGTCATTTTATAGCCTCAAATAATCTCCAAGGGTTTGGTTTAACAAGTTTGTCAAGATGATGAAATCCAATGGGTACATCGAATATCAAACAAATCATACAATATTCATAAAGCATACCCGTGGAGATTAAGGCTATACTCATTGTCTATGCAGATAATATGAGCTTGACATGTGATAATAAAAAGAGATTGAAAAGTTTAAGGATGTTCTTGTCACTAAATTTGAAATTAAGCATCTAGGAGTAATGAGATACTTCTGGCATGGAAGTGGCCAGATCCAAGATGGGTATTGTGATGTCCCAGAAAAAACACATCCTAAACCTACTAAAATAGACTGGAATGTTGGGGCACAAACCTGCTTAAACTCCTATGGATTTCAATAGAAAAAGTTATATTTAACGGGACAAAAAACACCAATGAAAAATAGTAGATATCAAAAACAAAAGACACATATCACACACTAAACCTCATATTCCTTACTCTGCCAACGCTGTGAATCAACACATGAATAGTCCAAATGAAGAATATCTGGAGATGGTTTACAACATATTGAGATGCCTTTAACAGACCATTGACAAAAGATTATTATTTAAGAAATCAAACAACATGGAGGTAAGGGTTTACACAGTTGCGTCAAAGAACTCACAGACAGAAGGACAACTTATGTGTATTATTCCTATGTCTGAGAAAATCTTGTCATTTGGAGGACCAATAAGCAAACAGTGATCTCTAGAAGTAGTGTCAAATTTAAGCATCGAGCACTTTAGGAATTTTTGAAAGAATGTGGATCCAATGGCTACTAAATGAGTTTGGATACTCTACTGCCAATCACAGAAATATGTTTTGTGATAGTCAAACTGCAATTAGTATTGTAAATAATTTGTGCATCATAACAAGACCAAGAACTACTACAGGAAATGTGAAAATCTGACAAAATATTATTGTCGGATATGCATCTGATTTGTAGCGAAGATAGACGTTTTTATATTAAGAAATTTTCAACGAGCATTGTGTCGACTCAGCATCGAACTTTTCGACACAAAAAGTTCACTTAAAAGCATCAAGCATTATCCGACACAAATCCACTGGTCACCCGATATAAAAGGCCTCAAAAAAAGATTCACAAGTAGTCACTTATCAACGTCGAATATTTTCCGATAACAA